GTCGCAATCCTCATCAACACACAATTATTGGGACGTTGTTATGGGGACTAATTCACGTGGAGCTGGAGCTTCTTCGAAATCCTCCGCCTCAACCGCAAAGCCCCACTCCGATCGGCGCTTCACGTGTACTGAGTGCCACAAGGGCTTCGAGCGACAAGGACATCTGGACGCTCACGTTGAAACTGTTCACGAACGGAAGAAACCGCACGCCTGTCCATACGGATGTGAAAAATCGTTCGGCCATCGATCTTCGCTAAGCAGGCACATTAGAACTGCCCACAACAACCAGTCCCTTCCTCCACTGCTCAACCCGAAGAGAAAGTCAAGTTCCAACTAGCGTATCCCAACTATTTTTTCAGCCATCCTAGCCCTCCTCCACGCACACCGAGAGTTTTGGTCCGCCGCAAGCAACTTTCCCTCCGTACACATCAGGCACTCACTTGCAAAATTTAACACAGTTGACTGTAAACATAGCTACATCGCATTCGAATGCAACTCCTGCTTCTACCATGCAAGAAGTGTCACTCCAGGCCAAGAGATCATGGCTCAGGCGCCGATTTTGTTTTCCCAGTGTAGCTCATGACACAGCGAGTTTCCCATGTAGAAAGAAGACATTCAATCCCCTTTCATGGAGAAACCACCCTTCTAAACTATTCCCCGTTCTCCATCCCGCACTAAAGCTTCGCGCACTGGCATCTTAATCGATCCTTTCTCTGTGCTTCTAGATCTACTCAGGCTGCTTGACGCCAGCTGCCACCGCAAAATCAAGAGTCACAGCATACCGAAACGAGGGAATGTGCCCGGACTTTTATAGCTCCTCACCCTGGCTTCAATGGTGTTATGAATGCCGCTCTCCTTGGCTCGTGCGCTGTAGTTAGGCGCCTGGGTCCAACCTGTGTGTAAAGCAGTGCCGAGATATTTCCGAGTCTGCAGAAGCATCTGATGGCATGATGAAATCTATGCAGGCCTTTCTTCAGTCCAAGAGTTTTCGAAATCTTTCCTAGATGTTTGTACTGCGAATTGAGGGCTGCGGCCTGAGTTTTCGCATGCACCTGACTTCTCCAGGAGGAGAGTTTTATGATTAGGCCTCAAGCTTCACTTCGGCAACTAATGTTCATGGCCGGGAACAGCACAAATCGGCCATTTGTCCTTTTAGTGGTACTTCAGGGGAAAAAATCTGACCTCCTAATTTGTGAATTGAGACCATTCCCTTTTTAAACCGAAGAGCACCGTTAGACTTTCATGTACAGGATTTAATGTCTTATCAGGAGCCCCATACTCCTTTTTCGGGCCAACCGCTTTCTCGAAAAAGAAATTTTGTGTTGTACCTGCAGCAGCTTTGAAAATTCAAACGGATAAACTCTGGGTAAAGGCAAGAAATACAATTTCGATCGAAAAATCAATGTATCTTATTATCACCGATTCTTCATCCGGCTAGTAATTTACTCCATTTTTGTAGTCTTTGAGTTTGTGCATGGTCTCTATGCAAGCTGGGCTTAGGTGTCAATATTCGACCATCGACTCGATCTCGGCGATACAACATTCAGTCAAGAAACTTGCCACTGGGACTCCTATTTTAGGAGACCATATAATTTGCAACAAGCAAGTATGGCCTAGAGGAGGAAAAGATAACGAACGCAAACCACATTCGCAGCAAAAAGTCTACACAGCAACTATCCGGTGGTCGATATGATTGCGAAGCCTTCAATGATGAGCATAAATCAATGTGAAGAATTGGGATTGGATTACACGCCTCAATATCAGCGTAGAGAATCTCCTTCGAATTCCGACGGGCATGATGAGATGCAGTTGCCAAATATTCCAGATTGCACTTTCGATTTCTCTGGTAACCGCAAGGCCGCCACAGCAAATGACAAATTTATTTTTGACCTTCTCTCTTTGTCAGAAGTACAGAGTCCCTGCTCCCCGGAGAGACCGGACTCAGATGAAGATGAGCAAATAGTCGATGGAGACAGCCTTGATCTCTCCATCAAGTCTTTTGTTCCGAAACACTGGATTTTCCCAAAATCAGATGAGTTGCAACTAATGAAAGACTTCATGCCAGTCGAGACTAGGGAAATTGAGAAGCTTACAGATCTAAGAATTGCTATCAGTGGAGAAGACGAAACTGCTAAGCCTGACGACGTCGTTTCGAAATGTGATTCTTTAAACATCTCAGATCAGACAGCCTACAAAAGCCCTTCTTTCAGCGAAATTAGACGCGCTCCGACTTTCAAAGATACAAGGACTCGAAGAAGACGTGAATTCCACAAAATTCACACAAGGCGTTCGAGGGCAAAGTTAAACGAGAAAATGGACCTGCTTCGACGTGTCCTTCCAGAGCCACCCGCTGGTTTGGTTGTAAAGTCAAAGGCCCAAATCATTGACTACGCCATCACCGTTTTGGTCAAGCTTCCGTTAAATAATTTGGAAACCGGGGCAGTCTATGGAGACAAGAAAGATGTCCGCCCCTAACGACAACCGGTTGGGAATTGCAGATACTGTACGAAACCGGGGTTTTCGCAAACGGTGGAGTTAATGTGGATCAGAAAGCTCGGGTCGCGCCGCTGTCCAATTTTCTTGAATTTGTCTACTTTTAGACAGCAAAACATCTACTTGGAAGTATCCTTCCGTCCTCGAATTGTCTCCGCGATTCTGTAGTGTAGCCTGTGAACTCGCGAAAATTCTAAAAACAGAGTTTGCACATGCCGGACGGCATGTGCCACACTTAGCGATACGATTCTAATCGCAAATCTGTAAATGACTCCCAGATTGCCATGGGTATATGCAGCTCGTGCGTCCCTTGCACGCCTGTCTGTTTGTGAAGCTTCGAAAATTTGATCAGCATAAATAAGAAATCTCTATATTTTAAACATGATTGAAATGGCATTGCAATTTATATTGTGCCTTCAGTTGCTAAACGTATCCGTGCATTTGGTATTTCATGTAATCGATGCACATGTAGCCACTCAGAACTTGGCGATTCATGTATCCCATATCCCATTTTGCACATACTGTACACATATGCTTACTGATAAGAGTAAATTGTACAGTCGAATGAGAAGAACTCTGGAATTCAAGACCACTACTCACACAGCAACGGGGTATGTAACACTAGAGAGAAGTTCGTACGTCAAGAACATATTTAGCTCGATGGGCAGGCTGTCCACAGCTCTACATCATGCCTTACTCGAGATGCACGCAGCAGTCGAGCATTCCAGCTCACTCCCAGCGCGGATGGTGTCCTTCCGGATGTACTAGGACTAGTGCATCCGGAAGGATAGACAACACTTGTGCTAGTCAAGAGATGTTGACAGTCGCCAGAGGGTGCCCAAATCCAAGCTTACATTTCGAAGAACCACGAGGAGAAATGCAATGTCACTCAGGGGCTCGATTGTCTTACGTCATATGTAATTTAAAGCTCAACAGATACTCCTGATCAGAGCTCCAGAAGCTCATACAGACATCGCTTATCAGAAATCTAATTTAGAAGATAAAATAAATAGTGTAATTTTCTTGTTCAAGTCAACTCATTGCCGTTGACTTTCGCATTTTGCATATGCTCGGTGGCTCCTGTTGCTCGCAGATACAAATAGTTCGGCATATGTAAGCATTGTTTCTTTGTTCAGCGAGCTGGAAAATAAGGGGTGCAACTGAGTATGTAAATTGTCTTGCACTGCTGAATTGGCATTTTAAAGAAGGATTGAATGAAATGCAGAAAATCACGGCATCGCCGCTGCCTACAAGAGCCCTGCGAAATTCTCCAACAATTGCATAGCGTTAAGCACTGATAGGCAATATATATGATCCATTTGTTTTACTCATCATGTTCACACATTGCTGGTGTGGAGCAACGCAAACGGGATGCGTTTGCTGTCGCAGCTCACAATCACTCAGAAACATAAAAGTATGTTTCTGTGAAATACGTGGTACTCCTTACAGCGATCCTTTGCACAATACACTGTGAGATTGAAAGCTACTGTACCGAGGTTAGTTTTCTTCAAGAATGGTGAATGTGAGAGCTTTTCTTAGGTCGCTCTGCCCCTTCACGTAAATTTTGCTAATTTCTTCAAGAAGGCTGTGTAGTTCTCTTACGCGTTTGAATTTTATGTGCAGCAAAAACGGATCAACTTACGTGGTTCTCAGCGTTGGAAAATGAACAGAGTGACTTACTTTTGTTGAGTCGGTGTCAAAAGTGAGACACACCTGTGTTTGCAGGTTTGGGGCTCTCAGAGTTTTGACGGTTTTTGCGGTACCACCTTTTCCCTTCCCCGTCTAAACACCCCACCTTGTTTTCTACTCAGAACCACAATGTAGAGACGACACTACATTAAACTATTATTTCGACATAGATCGGCATAGACACTTACATGTTTTCTATCCTGATCTTTAAAGAGATGGATAATTCGGTCTACGAGAGACGAAACGCACAGTGCTTATATAAAAATACTTAATGTCCCCTTGCTCTAATTGCGGTACTGTGGAGTTTCGCGTCGGACACGGTACCTCGACAACCAACTTTCTGGATCACTCATATGTTACCTGTCCTGACTTCGATCTCTCCCTACTATGCCTTTCATGCGAACACCTCGCGCACAGGTATTTACTGTGTTTTGGTACCATGAAAGTACAGTGGACCCGACGCATTAGTGCCGCCTTGTGCGAATACTAGAAAAACAGCACTACTCTGGGGCGGCAGTGATCAGTTGGGTGGTGAACCATTGCCCGTCCAAAACACCGTTATTAACGTTTATTGTTGTTTCCAACCCTCCCTCTCATGCCTAGCTTCCAAAAAGGTTCGTTTCGCAGACCTCGAGTGAGATAAAGTGTTGCTCACATCGCACTCCACACCCAGACTCTCCAAAGATCCAAACAACCTTGCCAGAGGAGAAGGAGGTGACGACGTCGTCTGTGACACGTGGCCCCTGTCCGCCAATCTTGGGCGACACTAATCCGAGGGAGGCAGTAACAAACGCGGCACTATTGCGCGTCCCCCCCTGTACAGGGGTGACGCGCAATAGTGCCGCTTTCATTATTGCCACCCTCGAATTAGTGCCGCAAAAACCGGCAGACACAAATTCTGCCACGTGTCATGCACGACGTCGTCATCGCCCACTCCTCATGAGCCTCAGCTCAATTGGTGATGGCACCTCAGCTCAATTGGTGATGGCACCTCACTCAAAGACCCTAACATGATTCCTGAAAAGATCGCCAAAGCGAAGCGTACGCGCCTTACGATTGCACAGAAAATCGAGGTTGGGCATCTGCTGCAGGTCGGGAATGCGAATACCACAGTTATGCGTCAGTTCAAAATTTCAGAGCGAACCATCCGAAACATCAAACGCTCTCTTCCTTTACTCCAACAAATTGTGACCAACACCGCTACAACGCTCGGAACAAAGACTTTGCACCCTGCGATTTGGAGGAATGGATTGAGATCGAGACTAATGAGCTTGTGGCAGGAGCTTCTATTAGTGATGCTTGCGATTCAACACATTATGGTGGAGAGCTACAGAATCAGTCTGCCAGTGATGCTATGATGGATGATTGTGTGGCAGAAGGCGAGTGTGAAATTACGGAGAGGCGGGCCGTACCGAGTGCTATAGTGTTAGCAAGGTTGTTTGGGTCTTTGGAGAGTCTGGGTGTGGAGTGCGATGTGAGTGTGTGAGCAATGCCTTATCGCACTTGAGGTCCGAAAAACGAGCTTTTCTAGAAGCTAGGTATGAGAGACAGGGTCAAAGGCAACAACAGCAAGCAGACTCTAATAACAGAGTTCTGGCCGGGTAGTGATTCTGCTTTCTGATTGTGCCGCTCCGAATTAGTGCTGCATTCTTAGTCCTTACACAGGGCGGCACTAATGCGTAGGGTCGACTGTACTGTGCAATTGGAACTGATTGAGTAAATGAGAATTTTCAAAATATTTACTAGAATCCTCTTTATTTTCAATTATCCTCGATCTGTTTTCGATTCACTTAGAGCATCACCACCGGTAGGTGATCAAATGACCAAACAAGAACACTTGGCACTTTTTTTCTAGAACTCAATTGGCTGGTGGGAATTTGGTGATTTGCTTCTTTGGTTATTTGATATTTCAAAAAGGACGGCCCCACCGGTCAGAACCAAATACTGTGTAGTACGCTCTTACTGACCCTCGTACTCACCCGTGTCCCCTCCTACGAGGAGTCGCAGTGACGGACTCTGAAGACGTTAATGGAACCGAAGCTGAACGTGTTGGGGTCCCATAGATGGGAGGATCCAGGGAAGAGGGGGGTAGCGAGCCTGAAAAGGGGGAACTCATTTTGTCATCACCGAGCTTGCGCTTGATGACCAACAGGGGGGATGCTCTCAGAGATGCCTTCACCGACCAGTGCGGAGCATCCCTACCGGAAAACAATAAAATCCGTGCTGGTCTTGTGGCATTTGAAGAGGAGAGATGGCGGGAGATTGCCGCTTGTTTTGCCACAAAACCCCTTCGTCATGTTTTTTGGAGGGAAGTCTTTTTGTCTGACCAGTGAGCCTTGGACAACTGGATTGTCTAGGGTACCAAATTACGGAGAAGCGGAACCTAATTCTTGATATTTGGTTCCGATATTTGCCTCGGAACCAAAAATTTGCTGATTTGGTCGGACCGGTGGGGATGACAATCGACATCAAATCAGCAAATTTTGGTTATTTGGTTATTTGCTTCTACCAGTGGTGATGCTCTTAGACATTTCTAGTGTCTATTCGACCAAGTGTTATCATAACATTGAAATATGCCAATTTTATTTCTTTTCAACTTTGATGTACACGGTTTCTATTTTCTTTGGTAGATGTGGTGGTTCCATCCAGATAGGTCAGCACAGCAGATAAGGCACAGCCACATAGGGCACTACAACTCAGCAGGTAAAGTCACCGCCGGCCGCCCTCCTCCCAGAGGAGAGAGGGCCATCGGTGTTCATGGGATCACAGGTTATGGGCCTCACGACTAACCACTGACATCGATCCGTCCAACATCCACCCTCGCCACCGGGGCAAGAAAACAACCCGAACAACGACGAGCAGCGCTGACAGAAAACTGCACCACTAACGCCACAACTAACCCGCCTCGTTCTCACACCGCACGCAGACGTCGACATGAGTCAGCACGTGCACCACCACCAGGGACAACTCCCTAAGCAATCGACCACCAACTTCCTATTCTGGTACGATGCACTTGAGACCTATGCACGCACCATTGATGCGCAACCCCATCTCACCAACACGAGACAAGCAGAAGTAGACTGTAGTATAGTGGCGGCCGCCAGCTACGACCTAGCTCGAGGAAGAGGTAACAACCAATAGGGGGTGTCCCGCGGTAGATTGGGGCGGTGGTAGAGAAAAGGGGAAGTACGTCGGCCGACTGTAAAAGCACGACGAACTGGTCAAAGTGTGGACCCGAAATGGGACCTGCATTGGAAGGGGTTGTGTAAGATCACACAAAACAGAGGAGAACCCGAGCCTACAGACAAGTGTCAGAAACGGGCGGAGCGCCGAGTAGCGTAAACTCCTAGAGGGAGCGAGCGGGACAGATGTCAATAGTGCCGCCAAGACTAGAGGCTTGTCGTAGCCCGCGACTTGACAATCGTCACAATGTAAGGAGAGAGAAATAGGTCGTGCGACAGTATTACGCCCAGGCTAGAGGCTAGTCTTAGTCCGCGTAGTCGCAACGACAGATGGAAAAGTATAATAGGGAATGCAGTAGAAACGTCGAGCGACAGAGGAACGCCTAGGGTAGAGGCTAGTTTTAACCCGCATAGTCGCAACGACAGAGAAAAGGAGAAGAAAATGGTAAAGGCAATAGAGCCAGAGAAACGTCGCAAGACAGATGCCGGCAATGTCGCCTAAGTCAGAGGCTTATATTGACCCTCGGTGTCGCACGTTCGAAGGATATCCGTTCCCAAAAGATCCTTGACTGTTTTCTGTCATTGCCCAGCGCCGTCGCTTAAAAAACCGAGGTCGCGGGGTCTTGGACATTGTCCATCCTACTGTACTACTGTACTCTATTGTGCTATGCCCTGTACTATGCCATTACTACTGTACCTTGTCATATACAACCTCCGGGCTGTAATGTATACAGTACGTCGTCGGCCTGTAATGCCCGCGTGTAGTTCGTCCGCCTGTAAGTCACACGTGTAGTCCATCAGCCTGTAAAGCACACTTGTAGTCGCGCGCCTGTAATGAACCAGCGGCGGCCGGTGCTGTACAAATTACAAATCTGGGCTGTGATACCACACAGACCCCGCCGAAGAAACACAACAGCAACAAAAGGCGATCTGCTCCGCCAAGCCATCATGCAAAGGATGACTGACGAGATCATTAAACTCGTCCCACCACACATCCTACGGTACGATCCCCATACCATTTGTGGCATACTCAGGCAAACTGTAGACAGTTCATCCATCGAGAACCATGAGATCCTGGACGCTGAGGCAAGGAACGAAACATACCGTCCGAACCAAGAGCTCACAGAATACATCCAAAAGCACCAAGACATCCGACACCGCATGAAAATATCCGGCTATCCGAACATCGACCCGGAAAGGACAACAGTGCGGTACATGATCCAGGGACTGTCCCAACACACAGACATGCATACCATTGCTGTAATGTTGGCGATACACCCACCCAACACGATCAGAGAATTCACAAATACAATCCAAGAAGCCCAGCACATACAAGCACGAGCACCGCCAGCACAGAGCCCCAGCAGCTACAAACATTCACGGAAGACGTACACACGCCAACCGCGTAGACACCCCCCACCGCTGAAAGCGACAACAGCCCCAACGCAATATGACAAACCAGAAGGGCACGACGGCAAATGGTGCAACATACACGGCAGCATCACGCACAACACGGCAGACTGCCAAACCCGTAGACCGCGCCGATACCAGACCAACACCAGGGCATACCAGGCCACAGCAAACACAGACCACGCAGACAGCGACATACACGAGTTGTATGAACGCCTCTAATTCCTGGAAGGTGTATTCGCTGATCAACACGAGGAGCAAGACGGTAAGCACCAATATATATTAGACTCCGGAGCTCATCCTACGCACACCGCACAACCCGATGCGACAATGCGACTGAGCAACGGGACACTAACACAGACCGCGAGCGGGCACAAAACACGCATCACTCACACTCGAAAAATACAGATACGGTAGAAGAATAAAGAGATCACCATCAACGCCGTACATGCGCCACATATCAAGCACAATCTGTTATCAGTCCACGATCTAATAGCATTCGGTGACGTCACCTTCACCAGGACGCACGCATGGCTACACAAGCCAACCAAGCTACCTGCAGCCACACTGTCGGCGACATACAGACAAGTTCAGTACCAACTCGTCACCGAACCGCAAACAGCACACGCCAATGGTGCACGTACATACACACGTAAAACCATCCCCAAAAAAATCCAACGACCCAAACCGCAATCCAAACGAGCCACCACGACGAAGACACACACAAAATAACTCACGACTTCTTTCCCTTCGCCGCACGACCTGCACCGACCCCCACCCTCAGCACTGCAGTCGCACCACGACAACAGAAAGCCCAACGTACAGCGCAGCAACAACTGCTCCACTAATGGCACCTAAAACTGGGCATGCCCACCCCAAAACAATAACGATCATGTCCAAGCATGGACTCCTACCGGCAAGTCCGAAAGGTCTCACAGACCACAGCGCAAAAATTACGTGCAGCGGCTGTATACACGGGAAAACAGCAACACGACCACAAGCACGCACCCAACACCCAGCACACTCAGGAGACAGCATTTCGTCGGATGTCTGCGGTCCCATTAAGCCAATCTCAAGACACAACGCACGGTACTTCCCCACCATGATAGACACCGCCAGCAGATACGTGTGGGTATACTGCATCCCAAACAGAGCCCAAGTACCCAGCACATTGATAGAAGCCGTCGACCACATAGCATCACAGCACAGACACTACCCGCGACTGCTAGTGACGGACAATGCAAAAGAGTACATTGCAAAAAGCCCTCCAAGAGAAACTACACCAACGAGGAATTGAGTTCAGGCCGACGACGCCATACACCCTACAGGAGAACGCCATGGCCGAAATGATCAATCGGACCCCCATGGATAAGGTAAGAGCGACGCTACAGCACAGCCAGCTTGACGACACGCACTGGAAGGACGCACTTGAGGACGCCGTATTTAAATATAACCTCACATATCATCACGGACTCAAGGGAATTCCCCACACAGCGAGGTACGGTGAACCACCGCAAATCAGGAAACTGTTCACCTTTGGGCAAATAGGTTACGTACCCATCCTAAAACCAAACAGACCCAACCTCTACACACGGGCAACTCCCGTCAGATATATGTACGGCCTGGACGACACCCACGTCTGCATCCAACATATTGCCACAAGGCAATATCAGAAAATTCGTGCAGTCGACCTCAAGCCGTACTACAAACAGCAGGACCCATGCCACTCGGTCAATGCAGTGTTCCACACCACGGCAACAAAGAGGACCCAAAGAAAAACACAGGCAACTCCCAAGGCGAACAAATGCACAAAGACGACACCTAAGCGTCAAAGAAAAATACGCCCGGCCCAAAGAAGGTCAAAAACACGCAGACCAAAACGAAGAGGAAACAAAAAATCACTCGCATCCCAACCGCAGTCCACAGCACCACACCGCCGCCGAAAACACTCAGCCAGGCACGACGTTACCCAGACGCAAAAAATGGGGACAAGCACACGATGCGGAACTGGACCAGCTCGACGCAATGAAGGCCATCGATTGGACGTCCCAAACAACTGACGGCAATCGAAAACAAATCCTACCAACAACCATGACCTACAGATACAAACGAGACAAAAACCAAACACAGCACAAGGCGCGTTGCTCGATAAGAAGTGACAGAATGACACCCACCTCCACTATGACCCAGAGAAGACCGCCAAATATATGGCCGACAGAACCACTGTACGCATACTTTTTGCACTCGCTGCATCAATGGACATAGTGATCGAACACTTCGACATCACCGGAGCTTATTTCCATGAGGACTACCAGCATACAAAAAACTATATGTATGGCAACCGCAGAGATTCAACGGGGAATACAAACGCGCGCCCACACATGGCCAACTGAAAGGGAATGTCTATGGCACACCGGCAGCCGCGCACCGTACAGCACACAACTGCACGCTCATCTTAAGAAACACGGATACAGGCAGATGAGGTCCGATACGTCACTCTTCACCGAACGATACGGTGAGGACAGAATTTTTGTAGACATTAGCATGGACGATTTTCTCCCAATCTCCACAAACAAAAAACTCATCGACGAACTGTACGCCATCCTGCAAAAAAGTACCGCGTCAAGAGGTTAGGCAGGCCAGCGAAATATCTCAACTGGCAAATCAAGTACGTCAGCGAAGGGATACACATATCCCAGCCAGCACACATAGACAGTGTAGTGGAGCTACTGTCACAGACA